CTGGGTATTGAGCTCAAGAATGTTTCTATCTATGTTGTTACAATTGTATTATTTAATAATATTGTGATATTCAAGATTTGTAAATTCATACAGCTCTGGATAACTTGAAACAGCGAGCAGTCTCTCCTACATCTATTCTCTGTAGTTGTCTTGACAACACAAACTGCAGCTCTGGGATGAGCCGAGTGCAAAACACTTGCAGCTGTTAGTAAACCATTCAAATGATGCCCCTCTTAACGCAAAAAAAAAAAAATGCATTCAATCGGCCCCTGCATCCAAACAAAAAATATGTAAAATTATATTTTTTAATTGTTTAACGGATACCATTAATCGGTTACAAACGCACCTTTTCAGTTGACGGTTAATCGTTTTTTTTTGAGCATCCCTACACAGGCATCAAAAAGTTTCCTCAGTGTGTAGAATCTTGAAGTGAAAACAAATTGACAAAATAGCTGTTGTAACTTCAATAAACTTTAACCTTCATTTTAATTTGACTGTAAATAAAATAAATGTATATGTAAAATACTTTAAATGTAATTCTACAGCACATTGTGTTCTGCTTCCCGACTGGCTGTAGACCACTGTCAATCATTCTACTCTGTGCAGTGTCTGCTGTACAGTACAGAATGCGTTCAGCTTGGCAAATTCACATAAATCTTTGATCAACAGCAGTGTGACTCAAGTGCTGTACTGTATGTTTGCAAATTTTCAACCCACAACGAAACACTCAGCACTGTCAAAGGCACTTGCAGTAGCACCCAAAAGCTAGAGGAAGATGCCAACCATCACACAAAAAGTTGAGCTTTAGGACATGCTAAAGGAAGGTAGAAGTTGTGCTGCTGTAGAACGGCATTACACATAAACAAATGAAGATCAAACGGTTTTGATCTTTGGTTATATTCATTCTATAATACTGGACTTATTTTTTTTACGAAGGTTTGAACTTTGAGAGCATTTAAACAAGAGAGAAAAGTGTGAAAATATTAATGTCTGTCTGAGAACAGTGTACTATGTGTGTAGAGAGAAGTTTTACAGCCTTAAAACATCTATAATAATTGTAAAAAATAAAGTTGACTACTTGGCGGATTTCACCTATTGCGGATCATTTTTGGATTGTAACTCCTGCGAATAACAAGGGACCACTAAATGCCATACAGTGTTAAACTAGACTATATTATATTGCAGATTATTTTTAGATTGTAACTCCTGTGAATAACAAGGGACCACTATACGCCATACAGTGTTAAACTAGACTATATTATATTGCAGATTATTTTTAGATTGTAACTCCTGTGAATAACAAGGGACCACTATACGCCATACAGTGTTAAACTAGACTATATTATATTGCAGATTATTTTTAGATTGTAACTCCTGTGAATAACAAGGAACCACTATACGCCACACAGTGTTATACTGGACTATATTATATTGCGGATTATTTTTAGATTGTAACTCCTGCGAATAACAAGGAACCACTATACGCCACACAGTGTTATACTGGACTATATTATATTGCAGATTATTTTTACATTGTAACTCCTGCGAATAACAAGGAACCACTATACGCCACACAGTGTTAAACTAGACTATATTATATTGCAGATTATTTTTAGATTGTAACTCCTGTGAATAACAAGGGACCACTATACGCCATACAGTGTTATACTGGACTATATTATATTGCAGATTATTTTTAGATTGTAACTCCTGTGAATAAAAAGGGACCACTATACGCCATACAGTGTTATACTGGACTATATTATATTGCGGATTATTTTTAGATTGTAACTCCTGTGAATAAAAAGGGACCACTATACGCCATACAGTGTTATACTGGACTATATTATATTGCGGATTATTTTTAGATTGTAACTCCTGTGAATAAAAAGGGACCACTATACGCCATACAGTGTTATACTGGACTATATTATATTGCGGATTATTTTTAGATTGTAACTCCTGCGAATAACAAGGAACCACTATACGCCATACAGTTATATACCGGATTATATTATACAGTTTCTTTACTTCAAACTCCTGTTATATACCTAAAAATACCAGAGAAGCACACTTTATTTTAATGTTATTTTTCTATATTGCATTAATTTGTGCTTTTTGCTTGTAAATTGATTGTTATCTTTATCTAACAATGTTGTACACCCAACCGTTCTGAAACCATGACCCCAAAACCATGATACAAACAGTCTGTATCCTGGCTCCCCTACAAATAACCTACCCTGACTTACATAAGTAATGAGCCTTCTTTGCTTATAATTACCAAAAGGTGGCAATATCAGTGGACTAGGACACATATACTGTGCCACCTTAATGTACCTATATTCCCTGACAAAAACACTTCTGTTAGCTTCAGCAGCGGAAGAAGGACAGAGGCCCTTCATACATCACTGTGCGTCATGTCTATTTTTGGCAGCAAAATCGATGTTAAGTCACTGCCGCATCTGGTTTTACAACCTGGCTGTATCCTTAGCATTCCCCACTAACCTACCGCTGCTAGGCTGGAGCCAGGCAGCACAAAACACTCAGCATTTGCAGAAACCCGAAGCTCCATAAAACCTTGAAAGCTTAAAAACATTATAATCACCAACTGAAGAGCACAGGATGAATAATGCATTTTGGTTTAATACGCAAGACATAAGGATTAAATATACAATGTGAAGATAATGAAGCAGTACTAAAGGACGTGTCACGATTCATCAAAAATAAATTGGTCTCATTTAAGCAACGCGGTTGTTTACAAAGAAGCCTCTGATGTGTCTGCCATCATGTCACACCTTCAGTTGGCTTGCACATCCTTCTATTTTTGGTTGTTGTAACCACTTCAGTTTGCTAGGTGTAATAAATAGTTTTTGAATTCATTTCAGCATAACAGAAGTCTCATTTTGCTTACCACAGCTGCATTAAAACACAGCAAAAACAGTAATATTGTAAAATTATACATATATAGACATATTTAACACTTATCCAGTCAGTGTTCCTTCAAAAATCTTTTTAATTAGCGGTTCAAACATTTCTATTATCATTTTTAAAAATTATTATTCTAATACTGTTTAACAATCAAATGTGTTTTTTAATTAAAGCCACATCCGCAACAATTGCTATTTTCACGGCAGGAACCTTTCAACAATAAATATACAATTTAAAATCAACAAACAAATAAATACATAAATTAAATAAGATTTTTAGTGTTCGTGCATGATAAAAATTCTAAAATCTTCTCTGGTTTCACTTTGTAAAAAATGTCCTTAGAGTTCATTTCATAAAAAATCTTCTGGAATCATCAAAAGCAGGACAGTCCAGTAAAATGTGTTCTATAGTAAGGGGAGTTTTGCAGAGTAATGTTTACACCTTGGAGCAAAAATCATGTGTTATTCTTGTATGCCCAATACGACACCTGGTAAAAACTACTTGATCAAATCTATTCTTAAAATGTCTTAAAATTCTGTGTGAGATTTCAGGTTGGGTTTCATGTAATTTATTATTTTCCAATGCATCCCTTTCCTTTCGCCATTTGTTTAAAATGTAAATGTTGATAAAAGGTTTCATCTCTGATGGAGTAATTTGGCATTTGTTTACCACTTGCTTCAAAGCGTCTTTAGCAGCTGCATCAGCTCGCTCATTTCCTGAAAGCCCGACATGTCCTGGAGCCCAGCAAAATATGATGTGATAAAACTGATTTTGTAATTGGTGAACCTTAGTTAAAATATTATCAAAGGAGGACCATTCTTTGAAGATTCCATAACTTGGAGGATTGATTTAGAGTCTGTAAAAATGATAGATCTCTTTTGTTGGGCATTTTCTACTCCCTGTTTAACAATCAATCCTGTGCAAAATAAATGTTTATATTTACGTAATATATGCGTGTGTACTAGGGCTGCTCAATAAATCTTTTCAGCATTGATATCGCAATGTGATCATTCGCAATAGTCACACTGAGAGGATACGCAATGTTGAGTCTGGATTATAAATCCCATTACACAAGTGTTTTGTTTTTTAGGCCTGTGACTGTGTGAAGTTTTTAAAAGCATTCAGACCTAAGGAATTGTACCGTTTGTAACTTTGACAAATTAATAACGAGTGAATTGTTTATAAAAAGAAGACTATGCAGTATTATTTTACATTTGATTATTCAATTACTGAACATCTGACTTCAGATCGACTCATCGTAAAACAATAAAACACTGTTTACATGATTTATATATTTTTCTTTATTAAATTTGTCTATGCTCGTAGATTGTTTCTTATATTTTAAGCATATATACTCCCCTACAGAATCATCTAAAATGATCACTTTTTCCCCAAATAGTTATTCAACTAATCTGATGAAATTGTATTCATATCTCAATATACATCACCGAATTAAAAAATTATTGCAATGTTAGATTATCTATATCGAGCAGTCCTAGTGTACAGTGTATATTTATTAAGTATATATAAATGCACACAGAGACACGTTTATACTTCCATATAAATATTTGAACAAAATAATTATTTATCCAGTTTTATGGTAAAACTAAAAAAAAAAATTATTGTGAACATTTTCTACACCTGTATAGATGGTTGTGTACATTTACATACACATAATAAATATGCACAGTGCACAATATTACTATGTAAATGTCAAATTTTTATTTTGTATGTAATTATTTGTGATTAATTGTTTAACACTATTCTATTCTTATCCCTTTTATGACAAATGCAACAATAATTCAGAACTCTTAATAAATAGAAAGAATGTTTATAATTTACAACAAAATTCATTGAAAGAACATAATTGATGTTAAATAAGAATATTTGTGCCATTACTTTTGGCTTGAATACATTTTTTAAAACCACAAACATACAGACAGATACATGCGTTCACCATCAACACATGCATAAAGTACTGCGTCAATCATAAAAAAGAAGGGGAAAAAAACAGATTTTAATCAAGTTTAGTAAATAACATCTCAGAGAGAGGAAGTAACTGTCTGACTCACACATCATTAAACTCCTTCAGACTTGTGGCAGGTGTAAAAACATCCAGCAAGCCGATCACCTGCAAGCACAAAGTGCAAAGAACACAAATCAGGATCACTTAGCACAGCATGAACAGACTTGCATTAGTTTGTCACATAAGCTGACAGGGAAAACCAACAATTACAACAGCTGAAATTCCCTCTCAGACTAAACCAAAGAATAAACCAAAAAAAAAAAAAACATAACAGGACCTGTTGACCCCTCTCCCAAAACAGATTTAGATTTTGGTTTCTTAAAATTTCTAAACAAAGAAAACAACAGGAAAAATGGTAAAGGTTTTCTTCACTTTCCATGTGAACAATAATGAATAGGATGTGAAAAGGTTTGATTGCCCTGAAAAAAACAACTTAATTCAATATTCAACCAATATTCAATTATTTAACAATATTCAACCAACAGACATCTTTAAAAACAGAGTAAACTTAATCTGTGCTTAATATGTGGTAAACAACTCTTAAATGTATCATAACTACTGCATAAATATATTATTGTACCATAAAATATCTCAACAAAACAATAATGAACCAAAATAAGTACTATAAATAAGTTTTGTTCATTGAATTGAGAATATACGAACAGAAATTTAAAACTGCAGCTCATTCTCCACTTCAATAGAATATTAAAGGGACAGTTCGCGCAAAAATGAGAATCTACGCATTATTAATGTCGTTGTATTTGTACTGTATTTTGTACTGTTTGGAGTCAGCACCTAAGCTTTTCACTCTTCATAGCACATGTGCTGCTGATGATGTGACAATAAAAGTGATTTAATTTGACTTAAGTGGTTCCTAATCTTTATGAGTGTCTTTATTCTGTGGAACACTGAAGAAGATTTTTTGAAGAAAGCTGAAAACCTGTAATCCATTGACTTCCATAATAGATTAAACAAATACTATGGGAGTCAATGGTAACTGTTTTCAAGCATTGTTCAAAATATCCTATTTTTTTTTACTTAAAAACTTGTTGGCCTTTAACTTCTCTCTTGTTAAAACACTTGGAGTTTCAATGAGATTGTATATTTGGGGCTGGATGCTTGGCCATTTCATCCTATCCAATGTTCTTTAGGAGGGTGCTCATTGCAAATGGACCTGTCAGACGAACGCCGCTCACTTTAACGTTAATTTTGCAGAATCACTGTGCTTATCACTGGGTAACAAGCAGTTATAATACGCTGAAAGCATTATGTAAATAATATATAATCATTATAACTTATTTCTAAAACAACAACAAACTCTGTTCCACATCGGATGTCATTTCCTCGCAGTAAATGCTAGCGCTCCCATTGTTCACAAACATGGTAATTCATCTATTCATATTATGAATAAAAATGTTAAACCAGCAGGTGGCTCCTATAGAACAGCAGTAATAACAGTGTTTCCCTTGTTTGACAACAAAGCAGCGTGATGTCAAATTTAGCAGGATTTTATGAATTTCAGAAAATCTACACAGTATGCCAGTATTCAAAGATTACATTTAGGCAAACTTTAACACACTGATACAAAATGTAATACCTTGTTAAATAGCATTTAAGACTTTAATTTTTTTAAGGCCCTAAATGTCTCTAGATGGATTTATCAACTTTAAATACTTTAAGACCCTGCAGACACCCTCTTCTTTTTTTTTACTGTTTTAATTATTTCATTAATCTTGTCAATGGCTTGTTCAGATTAGTACTTTTACATAGTACAAACTATTATTATTAAAACAAATAAAACTAGAAAAGTTCGTAGACAAACTTTATGGTGGCTTGAGAAAGCCTTGTCTGAAAGCGTGAAGCCGTTTAAAGTTTTAATAATTGAAGTAGAAGTTAAGTGTGAAACAGTTATAACTACATATAGGTTAGCATGTTTCTAGTTAGGCTGTTGATAAGAGGGTTCTAAGTGGTTGCTAAGGTGATGCTAAGCAGTTGCTAAGGCATTTGCTAAAGTGGTTGCTAAGCGGTTGCTCAGGTGTTCTGAGTAGTTGCTAGGCAGTAAAATGAATTAGCATGATTCTAGTATGAATTAGCATGTTGCTGGCATGTTTCTAGCATAAATTAGCATGTTTTTAGCATGGTTCTAATATGAATTAGCATGTTTCTAGTATAAACTAGCATGTCGTTAGCATGCATTTATTATGAATTAGCATGTTGCTAGTTTGATTGGAATATTGCTATTATTATTAGTATGTTGTTAGTATGTTCCTGTAAGGATTGGTATATTGTTAGCATGAATTGGTTTGTTATGAGTATGTCCAATGTAAAGTCAATGGCAGTGTTTATAATGGAAGGGACAGTTATGGGACAGTTGCTAAGGTGCCGTAAACGGTTGCTAGGGTGTGGCAAGTAAGTTGAAAGGTATTCAGTGGTTGACAGATTGGTAGTCTGAGTTAAATGAGCCAAAACATAAGTCTGTATGACAGTCTGGCAAAAAAAGTTATGAGGTCACCAAGTTTGGCCCAATACTAAGTCAATGGGACTTTTTCAGGACAGGTTTGGGAAAACCGTCGGTAGATTAATTGATATAAATATAATTGTTAGTGGTGGCCCTAGTTGAGTAAATGATGACAGAATTTAAAGTTTTGGATGAACTATCCCTTTAAATATCCTATTTTCAACCTGCTATATTATTCTGATCACCAAAAAACTTTTCATGGTGAATTTACTTCGTCTAATCACAGAAAACACTAAACATCCAAATAAATCAGATATTCTTGATTGCCAAATAGTTGTGACATTTTGATTTTGTTTTCAATGAAACAGAGAAAAACTGTTTTGGGATTAACATCATGAGTGTGAGGAAGTTTATCATTTTGACAAACTAATACTTCATCCATTCCAGCAGCCAAACAATACTCGTTTCCATAATGCCTGCGAAGCAAACTCACATTCTCATGTCTCATGTGCTTGAGTAGCCTTAGCTCCCTGTAGGTCCGCTTGGCATGGATGATGGACTGAAATGGCCTCGAGAGCTTCTTCACAGCAACTTTAAATCCTGTCTTTGCATCAAACGCAGAGCTGAAACACATGATTCAAACATGGTGTCACACTTCACTTTGTTGCACAACTGAAACTCAAACATGCTCCAACAGGACCAAAGCTAAAGACAATTGAAGGCACTGAGTTCACTTGCCATACATTTCAGACAAACAAAAAAACTTGTCAGACTCTCACTTCCTCAAACACACAACAACTAATGTTTAGAAAAGGAACTAGAGTTTTGCAACCAAACTCCAAAGCACCTTTCAATGATGAACTATTTCATAATTTGCATTTGGCACTGTAACATGTTTGTAAAGATCGGAGGATTGAATTTGAGAGTATAGAAGATGAAGACTTTTTAACTTAAGATTTACAAAGAAAATCAAATTAGAACAACTGATTGGTAAACAAAGCAAAACATTTATATAATACATTTACTAAAATGCAGATAATATTACTTTACAAACACTTTATTGTACATAAATGAATCATATACATTTGCATAAATTAATAATATTACTAAACTTAATAGAAAAACTGAATAAAGATCTATATTTATTAACATAAATAAACAACTAGACCAGCATCACAAGCTATGTATAGACTCAAAATCGAAGGTCATGATAAAACATTTTAGAGACCCTCAGGATATTTTATAACTTGACTGAAAGACCTAACAGATCTTATCAATTAAATTTGCAGTGCTGCTCTTTTTTTCTTTTTTTTTTTTGAATATGTAGCATAGACTGAGAGATGAGCCTGGCACTTCAAACTCAGCGCAATCTGTTCATCTGATATTCAATTACACAGACACAATAAGAGGGCCCATGAAATATAATCTAGATAGCACTGTTGCCTAGCATCCCAACTTCTAACAGTCACTTTGGTGCATAAACAACCTGTCTGGCCTGAGCAGAAGTAATTTAGAAAATGAGCCTGGCCTTCAAACACCTGTCTGTTTAATATCGCAGAGACCTTTCTGAAAATCATTTGCAAACATTAAGGAGTGAGGCAACACTTGTTTTGAGTTTGAGGGAGAAACCAAAGATGTGTGCACAAACACCACCAGATAAAACCAAAGCCACATGATTTCAATTCATTTTTAAAATGTTTACAAACACAACACATGTTCGAAAACTGAATTTCTGTGCCAGCTAAAAATACTTTTTCTAAGTTTTTAAAGTAAAGGTAACGATAAGCCATCGATATGTAGATTGATAGCGCTAAAAATTTATGTGGCACATTCATAGGGAAAAATGTTAGAAACAGTATCATTTTACAGTACCATTTAGTGCCACTAACGCTGGCAGAGACTGAATATGGAGCAGTTTCACAGAAACAGTTGAAGGTTCACAATAACTTTATTACTTTATTAGCTGTGTTACATTTCTTGAAACTTCATTTGCAAAATAGAGCAAAAAAAACAGTTTTTGTTCACCGGACAAAATAAAACCGTACACATTTAAAATTGGGCTGATATGGGAAATGTATTACCTCTTTTTTATTTGAAGATAAATATTTTACCCAAAGCTATTCTTAATGACTGGGCTATATGCACAGCTAGTGTTTTTCAGCCAATAAAGAACTTCCGGTAAAAGGTTTATGCGACTATTTTCAGTTTCATACGGTTCCTTTTGCAGCATCGATGTTGTAATGTAATTCAAATATACTCAGTTAAATAGACTTAAGCATGCACTTGGTTGTTAAAGCATAAAAAGAGATAAAAGACTGTTTAAACGCAGGCGTCATAATTAGCAGCAGGCTAGCGCACACTGAAAATATACTGTCTGCAAAATTGTTGCAAAAAAATGGTAATTAATTATAATTATAATTAATTTAAACAAACAAATTAAAGTTAGTAATGTTCAACCTAATTTGGTTAAATTCAGCCCAAACAATTTGTTTACAACCACTTAACTTCGAAAAAATGAGTAAATCTAAGCAATATATTTTTTATCTTTTTTTAAACTCCATTGAAAATAGTGTAGTAATAGAAAATAGAATTTAATGCAGTGCTTCTTGTTTAGTCTGATACCCACTTTATTTTGTATCTCAATCAGGCAATGAAGATCACTGTTTTTTTTTAAAGTGCGATGATTTTGTGTGGGATGACAATTCACTGGAAGCCCTGGGGCTATCTGACTGAAATTAAAAGTCTGTGTGCGAATACCCCATTTCAGACCCTTATATGTGTACGGTGTGATGGCGGGTCGGGCTCTATTGTGAGACTGTTGAGAAGTTCGTTTCAAGTCAAATTAATGAAATATAGCAAAGGCTGCTTCTGCCGAACAACTGTTCTTGTGGATTTTGTTTTCTAAAACCAAAATCATGATTAGGCATGGGACGATAACTTTAAGGTACACCACCTTTAGGGCTGTGTGGTTAATCGAAATTGAATCACAATCGCGATTAGAAATGTTGCAATTAGCTAAATATTACGGCAGCGATATTACATATGTATTACATTTGCGCAACCGGACTAAGTGGAATACCAACAATAAAAAACAAACAGGAAAGCACAGACGAGTGGGATTCAGAGGTAATTTGTAAGGGCTGTTGCAGAATTGTTGCCACATCATGAGAAAAGACAACAACCTGCACCTAAAAAAAGCACCACAGGCAGGTATGAGGAGTGTCTTGCAAAAGTCAACTGACAGTTTTGCCTATGACACTCAATTTAGTAAATGTTAAAGTTAATATCTTTTCAGTTTCTTTTTTTCACTAACACTCACTGCAGTAAGCTACGATACAGATTATAGAGCAGAATCTTGACTATAGATTTAAATTGCATTTGCAATATCTGTCAGAATAATCACAATTAGATATTTTCCACCAACCATACAGCCCTACATACCGCGGTAAAATTTTCTGCTATCCAGCTCCTAAGGTACGTGTAAGATTTTACGTTATTTCACAGTAAAAGATATCCAAAGATGTCGTTTACAATTGTAATGAAATCTAATGAAGACAGAAGTCAATGATTCATTTGAATGATTTAGCCTGACATGTTTACCGTTTTAAAATATTATAACTGTTTCCTAAAATAAAATATATTGTGTTCAAAGGGGAAAAAAGATTTAGTTTTTGACCCAGATATTTAAAATTAATATATTTTAAAGCAGTGATAACAATACCGTGAAACCGTGATATTATTTTCCAAGGATATCATACCGTCAGAATCATATACCGGCCCATGCCTAGTCATGATAGTACATGCATCACAGAGACATCTGTCTATTGTTTGTTTACATCTGGAAGACGCTTTTAGAGTTAATAATTGCTCTTCTGCAGTACATCTAGGAAACTTCCCCTGTCAGAAGTAAAATAGACAGACATTTAGAATTATTTTTTTAAGATGTTATTGATTTGTACTGTTAATAAATACCTTTTTATCAGATAATAAGTTAATAAGACTTTTATCAAGACTTTTCAAGGCTAAACAAACTTTTAAAACAGATTTTGCAGACATACATGTGACCATTCAGGAGATGTTTATACACTTTTGAGTTGTTACTTTTTTTATCTAGAAGAACAGAATTGTTGCTTGAAGCGCTTTCCTAAAGTTTGATAAAAAGTAAATATTAGTCTATAGACAACATCCCACACATACATGCATACATATTCGTGTGATATCAACAAAGTGGCGCCTATGAGGGCAAAACATCATTAAGACTGATAAGTCTGGAATTCTGCAGCTAGTTTAAGTGTAAATATAATCTGGCCCATAGCCAGGGGGGTTAGGGTGGTTCAAAAGACCCACCCCTCAATGAAAAAAAGGGTCCAGAATTTGTTCCATACATGAGCTCATTTTTCCTATTTTGAATACTATGCCATAATAAATTGTAAAAATAACGTATCAAAAAGGCTTTATCTCAAGTGCAAATCCTGTGTTGTCTGTCGGATACAGAATTTGCGACAATGAATTTCACACAACCTTACTTCCCATTCTGAAGTTACATTGTGCCAAATTCGGGTTCCCAAATTCTGACTTAGGAAAGTTTAATGTACTGGCCAGTTTGTTATGTGCCTAATAAATGACAATAGGTTACACTTTTATTTAAATTTAAGAAATTTAACAGATTTCTATTTTCTTCTAATGATATGATGTAATAAATTTGTAATTTAAAAATAAGTATTGCATTTCTTGTATATATATTTTTTTTTCTAAATCTTTAGGAAACGTTTTGATACATCAAGTGTGGTTATGATGACAAGCTAATCCAGCAATAAAGCTCTTAAAAAGCAGTATTTGAACCTCATGATTAAATAGAAAATTTGCACTTTTTAAGAAAAAAGAAACACCCTTTTCATCAGGCTGGCTGCGGCCTTATAATTTTTCAGACATTTATAAAAAAGGTGACTAATAAACTGATAATATAAGTAACTCATTAACCTGGAAATCTTTGTTAATTATAATAAAATTACTGACTGAATCATAAGTCAAGTGTATCAGAAAACACTAGCACAGAATGAGCAACAAACTTCCTCATCGCCAGGAATCAATCACGAGATTAAAACAATAACACAAAACCATCCCAGCGAGATTTGCTTCACCTCATCCCGGGTGTTACTGCAAGCAAACGTGAAAATTAAGTGCATGAATCAAGGACACAGCAGTCCTCAAATCGCACGCAACTCTGACTCACTGGCTGCGTTTCAAAACAGATCAGGTTACATACAAACGACAGCAATTTGCGCATTAAAGGCGCACTAAACGGCAGCTCCCTTGGATTTAAGACACAGTCCTGATGCATCATCATCTGAGGGGTGACCTCATTCAGGACAGAGCCCACCAGATGTCCGCATTAAGACCACACTAACGTACGGCATAAATTAAGTAGGGCACATAAACGTGTGTGGTTCTTGTATCAGAATAATCAGTTCTCAAGAAATAGATAGCAATCTGTTTTTAAAGAAGACAACTTTGTAATGCACTATATTCGTCTCTAGTCGCTAGCAACACTTTTAACGCGAGCTTCACGTTGCCCGTGAGCGACGCTCGTGCCAGCATGCGTTCATGCACGCGAGGTGGCATTTGCAAGTTTTGCATGTTATAATGCAAAATAGCAATCGTTAAAACCCTCCGCAATATTACACTTATTTTTAAGCAGGCTTGTTTGCGACTAGAATTCCATCTTGCATAACAAACCGCGGACTTTGATCTTATTAGCAAGTTTGCTAACGCAGTGAGGGCCCGTAAGAATGAATGGGACACACCGTTCCGCCATCGAAACAACAGAGAAATATTTACCAAACAGATCCGTATGCACCGGAGCCCACGGGAGACAAGTTCTGATACTGCACGGGGACCTCCCAAATCGTCTTGTTGACCTCCTGTCGATAGAAAGTGGGTCTTTCTTTCTGCGACATGCCTGCAGAACGATCGCCCGAGGCGAGTTGAGAGACTTCTGCTTTCCCTGGCTCGTCCGCCCGTGCTTCTTCGAGGCGGTGGAGTTGTCTTGCAAACGCTCAAAAACGGAAAACGAACGAGGGAAAAAGTCGACGGTGCACGCGGACGCTCGAGCACGAGTCCCCCGCAGTAGCTTATTTCATGCCCGCAGCTCCTAGTCTGCTTGGAATGCGAGTGCTCGGAAGTTACTCGATTCCGGGTGGCGGTGATTTCGAGCACTATCCCGTCTGCGTTTCTCCCTCCCTGCCTGCTGCTACAAATGAAAGTCACACAGTAAAACACGAGCGGAGTTTCCAAGCGCGCCCCCTGTAACACATTCACACGAACACATGAGGATTTTAACGAGACTGCACAGAGGGGATTGATGGAAGGGCTATTCAACGCAAAACGAATGAAACTACACGAATAGAAACGCGCAATGTTGGATATTTGTACAACACTGATTTTGTTGTGCGCTTTTAATTTTACAATGCACAATAACATCAAAGAACACAAAGATTTACGTAACAGAGGATGGTGCAACATAGGGGTTTTCAGGGGGCTGTGAGGGAGTGCTAGGGGATTTTCTTTGGAAATGCTTGAACAAAAGACACAATGATAACTTAAATGAATATACAAATGAAAATAATTAATCCATGATTGAATTATTGTAAATAGACTGAAACAAAAACATTACAATGAATTATTGTTGCCATTACATATGAACTAATAAAATATTATTTTATTAAATGAATTATTTCTCAATTTTATTGAAATAATACTGAATTAATAAACCATTTAATTAATATACATATGATTATTTAAACACTTTATTAAAATAAATGTATAAAACCAAACTATAGCAATGTTAGGGTATTGTACTACAAGTAATGCAAGCTACATAGTAATATTGCTTTTCTAGTTAACGAGTAAAGTAGCGTATTACTTTTAAAAATAACTAATAATAGTTGAGTTACTTTTTTGAAAATGTAACGTGAATTACTTTTGTTAATTTAATTAGCTTTTTAAAAATAAATTGCTGAATTAAAATTAAAGTAGCCACGATGAATCGCGCAGTCAATGAGAGAAAGTGTTCATTATTTTAAATGCATCAAAGAAAAGGAGAAGGGGATTGTCTCAATGGACAGTGATTTTACTAAAGACAAATAGAACAAAAGCAGCAAGCACACCGCTTTAAATTTTCAACAATCTGTATATATAGCATGTATAGCTCTGTGGTCAGGAAGTTTTCAGATAACATTATACTAAATAAATTTGATGTGTTTTTTAAAGGTAAATGTAGGTGTATGTCCTCAATAAAAAGAAGAAAGAACAAATTCTGAAAGGGATCAAGCCTTAGCCAGGTAATAAAAGTAATTTAAAAGTAACTCAAAAGTAAAGTAACACATTACTTACCATAAAAATAACTAAGTAATGCATTACTTTCAAAAGTAACTTTCTCCAATACTGAACCTTATAAAAGACACACAAGTTTAAATTGGATTTAATATGAATTGAATTCTTAATAATAAAAAACAAATAATAAGTAATGAAGTAAATAAGTTACAAGTTAGTTAATACCGTTCCAAATTTTAAATGAACGCAACACATTATAAAATGTTTCAAACAATCAACTTACATTAAAATGAATATTTTAAAAAGATAAGTCAGTAAAGGTGTAAATAAATATTACAGTAATCAGAAACGATACATATTTATGTAACTTTACAACAAAAAAACTTTATTGGAAGTTCAGTTTACAAGAACAAAAAAGAAAATGAAGCATGATCTACATATATATGACAAACAAAAACAAGCCATATGTAGTTGAAGCAGTTCAGTAGAACAGTAACAAAATAAAGACATATTTTATGTTGTCCAGTTTTAAAAATGAAATATTTGATGATAATACTGTATGAATAGTCATGTGCTCTTGAGAGCTGGAAGGACACAGGGGTCAGAGGTCATATTTGCCATGGTCATCTGGGTTATAAATGTCATGCTGGGACTCTCCACTGTAGACCTGTGAAGGAAACAAGATTTGACTTTAATTTTAAATGAAAGAAAATCTTTAAAAACAGCAATATAATTATTCTAAATTGCCCTTACCCTGCATTACTGCTAACCTGGATCTTCTCAGAGGAAGATGCTGATAGAGCTGGAGGATGTGCTGCTTTCCTACTAGGAGTCAAGAACAAAAATATATGTATACATTTTTAAATTGAACATAATACATATAATTAAATATACATACATATTGTTTTTCTGTCACCAATAAGCCCTTGACAATTTTACAGTATGCTCACAAAAATCCATGAGCTTTTGAGAACCACTGCAAAAATCGTTCCAAAGAAATACAGGCTAAGAAATTTAAAATATTATAGTTGCAATTACCCTCAATTACTGCATGGTGGTGCTAAAAGCAACCTTTAAAAACAGCAAGCATTGTCAAAGGTACTTACTGAAATATACACACACACACACAGTGGCGCCCCCAGAAAATTTTCTTAGGGGTGGCCAGAAGAGGCCGCACCAAATCTTGGGGTGGCACACAAAAAAAATAATGAATTCAGTGTAATGTTATATATTTTTTTCTGGTAAATGAAATAATGTAGTTTTTATTCATTTGATTAATTCTACTTGAAATATTGCAATTCATTCTTTGAAATAATTCAGCAAGTACATGTGCAAACCAAATAAAAATCTATGTTTAGTTTAAAAACACTTTTCATATACTGTATAAATAACTTCTTTTTTTACGTGCCTTTATTGTACATCATGATATGCCATGTCTAAAATTAATGAAGATTAATGAGTTTATTATTCCCAGTGATGGGTTGCAGCTGGAAGGGCATCCGCTGTGTAAAAATGTGCTAGATAAGTTGGCGGTTCATTCTGCTGTGGTGACCCTGGATTAATAAAGGGACTAAGCCGAAAAGAAAATGAATGAAAGAATAATGAGTTTATTAATACCCCAAACAAATGAACAAACTGAACAAAAGGCATTACTATACACACTCACTATACCTAATAATATCATTTATCCATATTACTTTTTGAACCATTTTATTAATGCAGCTTCTTCTATTGATATACTGTAGCTTAAGGTAAATATTAAATTGCCATTGCTGTCTATTGAAGGTGTGTGCGTGCTGTCAAGGACGATCGGGGAGGGTAGTGGTGGTTCTAGTTTAAATGACACCCTGGGCGAACCACCCTATACACCCCCACCTCTCTTGAATTGTTAGATTTGTTATTCAATAAATATAACAATTTATTTATATTTATTCTAAATAAATACAAATAATATTAATATACAATTAATATTCTGAATAAATAACAGAAATCAGTCCTAAATATTATTGGAAAACAACAACTGGAGTGATATGCCAACATCACTTAAGAAACCTTTTGCATGAAAATTAATTATGACAATTCTAAAGAATACAAAAAATGTATTATAGAATTATCTGTGGTCTTAGACCAGATCATGGCTGATAAATCATGTTATGAAGTCTTACCTCCCTGACTCATTATCCCTTCTTTCTGCTTTAAAGGCATGCTTAGTGAAAGTAACATCATCATCATCATCATCATATTATATAAACTTTAACCGACTTTCAAAACTCGCTGCGTGCCGACACTTCTACACAAAAGGCTGTTACTCCGGTTTCACGGCGCATGAGCGGTGCCTATTATGTCGGCGTGCATGCAAACAACCAACCAGGATTCACACAGGAGTGCGTGAGGCGCGCGGGAATGGTTTTCCGCGCGCATGCGTCAGTTTGCTTTCACCAGCATTGAACCAGAGGGGGAGAGCTACGTCAGTAACACCAACAATAATTTAGTGACTGCATTTTATTTATTTATTTATCTAAATATTGGGAATTTATAAGTTCATTTAAATCAATAATGTCAACCGCAAAATTATATTGGGGTGGCCAAAGGGGTGGCCACAGGGGTGGCCAGAGTTTACCGAGGGGTGGCCGTGGCCACCCCTGGCCACCCCTTGGAGGCGCCCCTGCACACACACACACACACACACACACACACACACACACACACACACACACACACACACACACACACCAACCATTTTATTAGGTACACCTTACTAGTACAGGGTTGGACCCCTTTGCCTACAGAATTGCCTTAATCCTTTGTAGCATAGATTCAACAAGGTATTAGAAATATTCTCCTGAGATTTTGCTCCATATTGAGATGATAGCAGTCAGATGATATATGACATGGCACATTATCCTGCTGGAAGTAGCCATCAGAAGATGAGTACACTGTGGTCATAAGGGATGGGCAAGGTCAGCAACAATACTCAGGTAGGCTGTGGCGTCAACACAATGCTCAATTGGTAGTAATAGGTGCCACGAAAATGACCCCCACACCATTACACCACCACCAGCAGCCTGAATTGGTAATAGTCAGGATGGATCCATGCTTTCATGTTGTTGATGCCAAATTCTGACCCGACCATCCGAATGTCACAGCAGAAATTGAGACTCATCAGACCAGGAAACGTTTTTCCAACATATTGTAGGCCTATTAGTATTATTTTAGTAATATTAATATTACTAAAACAACCAACCAAACAATGGTTTTGCTATTTCATTTAAATTTGATTTAATTGATCTGAAGCTTCTTAAAATGATGCCTATCATGTCTAAATTATATGTACAATTATATGGATGTTGCTCTGAATGTTTATTGTCTAAAGTGCATGTAAAAATGGCCTTTAGACTGGAAATAAAGCACGCCCATACTATAATTGATATATTTCAAAACTGATATACCTTGTTTTAATGCCATTTAATTTAGCAAAGAGCAGATTGAGCAGTCTCTCCTTCTGTTCCCAAGTTAGATCAGAAATATTCACATTGGAGCTCTTTAAGTTGTTCCTGAAAAGAACACAGAAAAAACAACACACCTATAATCTTCTTGATTACAATAAGCTGCACCTGAATAAAAAAATCTCGAACCATTTGTCAGAATCCTCCAGCTCAGTCTGAACATCATTAGTGCTGTTTGGGGCATTAGAGAAGGTCCGTATGCGAGGAAACTCCAGACGGCCGGCGTGAGCCTCGTTCATTCGCCAGCGATAGGACTTCATAGCTTCCTGTCTACACACAAATACATCAAACCCATCTTGATGTAAGATTCAAAAGGAAATACAGTTTCTGACGGACAGGTCAACCCCAATTGCTGTTTCA